GTCCACACTCTCCTGGGTCTGCCAGGAGCAATGAATCAGATGTAAGAATAGGGAGGTAAATCTTATAAACATAAATTTAAAATTGGTTAAGAATGAACCTCAAATGCTAGTTCAGATAAACAATCCAAAATGTGTGTGTTTATGTGAAGCTTAGCAGACTCTCTTTAGCTAGTACTCTCATGAGATATCCTGTAGTAGTGGAATGATAAACACCAAAAGAACAACTTTATTTGTGATATTTCAGTACTAGTGAATTTCCTGTTTATCTCAATTCCAGAGGTGTGTGACATTTTTTGGAAAATACCCAAGTCAGTATGAATTTCATGAAAAGGCTGTGGTTGGTTTTCCCATCCCTACACAAATGTCATCATGAAAAGGCAGAGGAGGAATTTGAGGGCGGGGGGGGGGGATGTTCAATTTTTAAGTGGTAATCATGTAATAAATGAATGAATAAATACATTTCATGATGTCTTGGCACATTTCAGATGTACACAAAACAGCACAGAAATATACAGTGGGAGTCATAACAGAGGTGACTAGGCCCATCAAGTAAAACTCAAGAATGTGGCTCTGACACATCAGACTTGCGTTCCAGCCCCTCTTATTTCACGTTATTTATACACAGCCATTACAGATGTTTTGGGGATTCTCCTGAGCTTTGGGCTCTGGTACAATTGTCCTCCTAACTCACCCTCTCGTCAGTGCTGGAGATAACCATAAAAAACAGAATTTTGCTTCCATGAAAATTTTTGATTTAATCTGAAATCAGGATGAAAAGCTAAAAATTTGAAGTTTGCAGGATCTAAATTCATTTTGGGAGAACCAAAATGGAATTTTTTGACTTGCTTCCATGCTGCCTGATTCCTTGGGGATCTGGCTGCGTGGAGACTTGCCAGCTGCCATGGAGATGGAGAGCCTGAAAGCCATGGAGCTTGGGGACTCAGAGTGCTGAGGCGGGTGAAGATCCAGGCAGATTTCCATCAGAAGTTTTGATGGAATTAACATGATCTTGTAGAACATTTCAACTCCATTGAGTTTCCCATATAAAAAACTGTTCCATCAGCAAATTTCTGACCAATCTACCACATAGTCATACCTACAATCAGAATGATGAAGGCACCCCTAGAAAGGGCTTGTGAAGCTTTGGTAGGATGCATGGTAGGTAAGCCACGATTTAGTGTTACATTAAAGATTTATCTTCTAAAAGGACGACAATGCCAAAGATATCAAAACAGAATAATGCATTATAATTCATTGGACTAGTTTTGGTGCCCAACTTTGGTTGCAGCTGTTCAAGAAAGATAACAGAAAGGGGAAATGTCCAGAAAAGGGTAACAAAAATGCTGAGTGGGTTTCACATGCAAAATACTGAGTTCAGCTGTGCAAGTTGTTATTCCCATATACTGTCCAACGGCACTTCAGAGGAGAGTAGCTATATGCATATGAATAATTGTTCACAGAATTGGGTTTAAAGATTTGAAAGACTGGGGTTAATCAGTTTGGGAAGGAGAAAAAACTACGAACTTGATTAAGATACCGAGGATGATGAAAGATATAGTGAAAACTGGCCAGGTGCTTCCTTTCACTTGCTCCCACAACACAAGAATAAGGAGACACTCTTTGAAATTAAGGGGCGATAAATGTAAAGCAAACCAAATGGAAATATTTATGCAGTGGATAGCCCACCTGTGGAACTCATTACACCAGAAGGTCAGTGGGTCAAACACAGCGTGTCTGGATTTTTAAAGATATGGATAACTGTGACCATCAATAACATTGGTAGTTATGCTACGAAAAGATAATATTATTCTAGCCTCATCTTTGCTAACATCAGCTGATTGCTTGCAGTGTTAAGCCAGAAATCTCTTTCCCTTCTTGTGCAGCACTGAAGGAAACTGGAGCGGTGCATTATGGAAGGTTTCTGACTTCCTCTGGAGGATCACAGAAAATAGTGATGGGAAACGCATATTAGATCATCCACACCATCCCCTTAAAAATGCAGTCACAGGATAGTGGATGTATTAGATCAGCAGTTCTCAAAATTCCTTGCACCGTGACCCCATTCTGACAACAAAAATTACTACACGACCCCAGGAGGAGGGACTGAAGACCAAGCCTGCCCAAGCCCTACCACCCTGGGCGGGGAGGGGTAAAAGTAAAGCTGAAGCCCAAGGGCTTCTGCCCTGGACAGGGGGTGTGTAACCTTAGCCCTGGGCAATGGAGCTTGGGCTTCGGCTTCAGCCCCGGGCAGTGGGGCTTGGGCTTCCGACTTGCTAAGGCCCAGGGCCAACACCAGCCTGGGCCACTTTTGGGGATCCTGACCCACAGTTTGAGAACCCCGTATTAGATATTAAACTACTCATCAAGTAGAACAATGAGAACTCTGCAGCATTCTGTTCAAATAAGGATCTGCAAATAAAGATCTGCAGATTGGTTTACAGGGCCAGGAACATACAGAGAACCATAGCTGGCCTCTGCCGACCCCGAGACACTCCTTCACCCCAAATCAGCATTAGATCCCACCTTTTTATCTTAGATTCCTTTTGGAGTGGGGTGCCAGGATTTCTTAGGGCTTGGCAGGTACACTGACTATGGAAGAAGCTGGGTGGAGAAAAGTTCACAGGACAGCTAAAACATTTGCTATGTTTAACAAATTTGAGAGATAATGACAGTTTCATAGACAATTCAAATTCAAGACATAGGAACATAAGAACTGTCACGCTGGATCAGAACCATGGTCCATCTATTCCAGTATCCTGTCTCTGACAGTGGCCCACACAAGATGCTTTAGAGGAAGATGTAAGAACCCTACAGTAGGTAGATATGGGATAACCTGCCCTCTCCTAATGGTCTCATCCTAATCCTTAATAGCTGGAGATTACTTTAAAATGTGAAAAATGAGCTTTTTATTTCCCATCCACTACTCTTTTAGTGAGCATTAACTATAACAACTCTGGCTACTCTTGTTAGCCACATAAACATCGAATCCTTCTTTGAATCTTGCTAAATTCTTGGCCTCAGCAACAGTGCTGTCAATTTCAGACAATGCTGACTTAGGAGTAATTTTTATAAGGCTAGCTGAACATTTCAGTCAGCTCAGGTGTCAGGTACAGGACACTTCATGGACTAATGACCTGATCCAGTATGGGAATTCTAATACCATTATGGTATTTAAACGATGAATGGCGAGGAGGTAGAACATGACCTTGACAAGGTCACCTTGAAAACAAAAAGAAAAAAACCTCTTCACATATCCATGAAAGTGCAATTGTTAGTTGCTATTCCTATCTACCCAATCTGTATGCAGATTCTTTTGAGTACACATTGAGTACAAAAAGGAGAAATCACTCACTTTTCAGCACAGTGCAGAAATCCATCTTGGAAAAATGAAAAGTGGTCTGAGGAAAATGGGAAAAACAATGCAATTACATCCATTCAGCATGAGGGAAAGACTAATACCAAAAAGAGATCTTACATTTACAATGTGACATGGCAGCATAAGACAGAGACTGCATATCCATTCTGTCAAAAAGCGGGGAGGGAGAATTGTCTACATAGAAAGTTCTGAACCTGGAATATTGCATTTAGTCCTGGGCTTTCAACAAAAAGATATTGGGAAACTGGAGGAAGTTCAAAGAAGAATGACCAAAAGGATCCATATACCTAGAGGAATGATCTGTGAGGAAATTTAAAATGCTTAAACAGGTACAGCTTGGCTAAGCGGTTACTGCTACCGCTTCTTTACATAAATATGGTCTGCAAATATTTGAAAGGTGGACTCTTAGGGTGTCTCAACCTCACTCTGGCCACTTTATGCTGTTCTCATCTTTTTACCAAACTAAAGGGGCTCTAAAATCCCTGTGTCTGGCTGAGGGAGGACACCTTAAGGCTGCCTTCAAGGATCCCTTCACAATGCCTGGCACAGGAGGGTTGGGAGTGGAGGGAGGAAGGGCATGCTGGGGGCAGGGCCCAAGCACTGCAGAGATTCCAGGGTGTCGTGTGACCTATATGGCAGACCTGAAGAAACTGCTGAAACTCAGACCCCCAGCACTGTCTAAATTATTCCAGAGTCCCTGGAAAAGGGCACAAAGGTGACTTAAATCCACTTCAAGCCAAACTCCCCTGGGCTGCGAGGGCCGCCTCCAAGAAACTCAGCACACAATTTTCCCCTAGAATGGGGGGAAAAATAACTTGGGTTTGTACTGCAGGGTGTAACTGGGAATAATAGAGAAAAATTGAGAAGGCCAAAATTGTAGGCTGAATAATCAGGGAAAAGATTCATAATATCCCGCACTGGGCTATGGAATCCTCTCCAAGGCAAGTGTTAGAAGCTGCAAAGCTTGCAACATTAACAATGAAACTGTTCAAAGCATGAGAAAAACACTATTATAGTGAACAATGATATACATATAAAGGGGATACACTACTCCTGATAGGCAAAATGTAACTGACCATTAATTTCTGTCATCATGTTTATATTTATTACCCAAAGCTTCCTTTCAGGGCCACATTGTGCTAGGTGTGGGCAAACCGTTTTTATGATTCTATGAGCTGTCCAGGTAACCTAGACAGAAGCTGCATGCATGTACTCACATGCCACCACATCTACGTACTGTCATGCAAGGTAGTATTTCACTGGGAATTCCTGATTTGAAGGTCCAGGAAGTTAGCAAGGGGAAAAAAAATAATGCAGTCATTTTTGATGACAAAAAGGGCAGAAATTTCATTTCAGGCTTAAACACCCCTTGCCCCTCCCCCCAAACAGACGCACACAAATATAAGTTATGAGGATGTCTTAACTTCTTTTCCATTTTCTGCTTTTACTATCACTACCAGCAGATTAGACAGAGCTGATTGCTTTAGGCTTCAAACAGAGTCAGTCTCGGGGGGGGGGGGGGGGGGGGTCCTTTAACAAAGCCCTCCTCCCGTACCCTCCCACCGCATTCACTTGCAAATCACTGTGTGTCTGGAAGTGCCTGCTTTCCCCAGCCCTTAACCTTCCCATACCGAGTGGTGCTGCAGAAGCAGAGCACTCTGTCCGTGTGTGTGTGTGTGTGTGCGCGCGAGGGAGGGAGGGAGGGTGGTTTCCTTTTTCTTTTTTTTTTTATTAATCAGGAGCACTGAATGGAAACCAATCAGATAGAGAGCCCCCCTCGGCTTCGGCTCCCTGCATGCCAGAGTTAAAAGTGACGCTGGGAGAAAGCGAGCCCCACTTAGACGCGAGTAGATCCAGGCGTGGAGGTAGCCGGCAGCGTGGCGGGCAGCAGGCGGAGGCGCAGCACGGTGTCCACGCCGGCCGCTGTATTCCTGCCTGAGGCTGAGCACTCGTCCTCTTCTCTTACCGGTAAGGAGATCAAGCTTTGGACTGGTGCAGGGCAAGTTTAACGGAGGAGCAGCCGCCTTCCCTTTCGTTTGGTCGGGTGCGAATGCTCCTGAAAAAGCCGCCGCTTTGGCAAAGTTGCCAGCTCGGTGCTGGGGGGCACTGCGCGCCCCGGCCGCTGGGTGTGCGCGCCGGAGGCCGGCGCAGGTTGGGCCGGGCGCCGCTGGCAATTCACGTGCGTTTGGTGTCATTTTAAGGAGGGCAAAGAGACGCGGCGTCTTGCTGCAAATTCAGGGGCACTAGCAAGACCCTTTAGCCAAAGGAAGGGGGAGGGGGGCAGCAGCAGCAGCAGCTGGTTCAGAAAGTACCTGCAACGATACCTGGGCTCGGGAGGCGAGAGCAGGTGGCGAGCGAGCGAGCGAGCGCAAGGAGCGCGGGGCGGGAGCGCTCGGGTCGCCCGGCCGGGCGGAGGCGCCGCGGAGCTGAGCGTGGCGCGCGCTTGAGGTGAGGGGCGTCCTCGAAGGAGAAGTCGGGCCGGGGGGGTCGTGCTGGAGCCGTCTAGAAACCGACACTCGTGAAATTCTTGATGGGGTGGGGGGGGGAGGCATTTGACCGGGGGTGCGTGACCACAGAGAGACACTGAATTCATACCTCGCAGTGAATGAGGCTAAGGCACTGGTGTCGCCCTGTCGCTACCTGTTACAGAGTGAAATTATATTTTATCGATAAATAAATCTCACCCTGTTTTATATGCTGCTTGTGCAAAGAGTTGTATCCGGCACTAAGCAGTCCCTGTGGCGGTCAGGGGCTGTGGAAAGCATTCCTGTCACTGCTGCAATAAAATCCATATTTTATGGAGAGTTAAATGCAGTACTCTGTAAGTGCAAGTGGATGGTCACCTACGTGACTCCCGCTGACATTCAAGGATCAAGAAGTTTAATGACCAAAATTGCTCCCGGCTTGACACCAGATCTGCTACTTTTCTCCAAAAAGAGACCATGAGGCACCTTTTTTATTGACACCTAGGATTTAGAGTGATAGCAAAACCTTAAAGGGTATCAGGTAGCCAACTTGCTTACTGAGTGTAAAGTCAGCCCTTTGTTTAATTTACAGTTATTGAAACAAAACTGGAAGGGAAAGGATGCCAATTCAGAATAGTTAATGACAACACACATACCCGTGTATTGTGCGTGTATATAAATACATATCTAGCATTGTTTCTGTTCATCCTTTCATGGGACCATATTTAATAGCACCTTGGAACTATTGTAATTCAGGATGGAATTTGGGTAGGAGTCCCTAGTTTTAATCAAAATAAACATAACTCTCCCCATCAAGATAAAGGCTTATTTCATGCATTTTCTATAGTGAAATATCGGTTGTGCAGTCAGTTCCATGTGCAGGTGCTTGCATGTTAGTTTAAGTAATCCATAAATATGATTAACAACTGCTCATGAGCAGTATAATGTGATGGTACTGGTGCATCCCTATTTTTTAAAAAAAATCCTTTTAAAGGCAATTGAGGCAATACATTTGCATATGTGAAGAGAGTGGAGGGCTGGAGATCTAAATTTAAGTAGATTCCTTCTTCATGGATATAAACACACTTTTTTTTAATAGGCCTGGCAGCAGAGAACTAATTGGATAGTTTCCTTAAACAGCCCAAATGTGCTAATAAATATTTCAGGAAATCTCTTCCCCCTCTCTCCTCTCCAGTGTTATGTTCCAGGGCAACTGTAAAAATATAATCTCATATGCTTGTGACTTTACACGGCATTGCAGTTTTTCTGGACATATTTCTGCTGGCTTGTGATTGACTTTGGAGATGGGGGGAAGCAAACTATCAGAAGTAGCAATACATTTTCAAGGAAAATGGCACTGATTTAATCTAACTGTAATTCCTTGCAATTATTTTTGCAGTCATTTCAGGATCTGGCAACCTGGGGTCCCTGTAGGGGATTTATTAGTCTCTCAAGCTTAGTGTTTCTCAACCTTTTTGATACCAGGGAACAGATTTCTGCCTTCCTGAACTATGTCATGGAGATCTCAGGGACCAGTGCTGGTCCACAGCGTAGTCTTTGAGGAATGCTGCTCTAGGTATTTTAGCTTTCACACCAGTTCATGGTTCTCATATAGTTCAGTGCTAGCACTCCAAAGGTTACAGTTATAGGCACAGTCATCCTTTTCTACCAGGTCGTTCACTGTTAGAAATATGCATCTGTCTTCTGCCTCGTCTCCATCTGCACAACTCCCCCCTGAAAGTAGTAATCTGGTGCTAAAGATAGTTTTTCCTTTTGAAAAGTAAAGTTTGCATTTTGTACTCTGCTGTTCAGAATATATTTAATTGAGAGACTTCCTTGAAAGGAAACACCCCCATTAAAGAAAAATATTTTTCTCTGCTGAAAATGTTTCAATTTATAGAACTTCTGAATGGTTAGCAGAACATACGCAGACGGCAGCCCTTACAAGCAATGAAGTTAATGTGCAACTCAAGGATATGATGAATCCCTCAAGTCTTGAGCCTCCCCAATCCTCCTTCCACTCAGTTCATTAAATTTATTTTCATCTTGCGAGAGATGATGTCAACATGTTGATTTTCTCCTAGTTATAGACTTGAGGAATGGTTAGATTTGGATGGGATCTCTGTTGGGTCACTTAATCCATGCCTGCCTCCACAATAGTAGCAGGGCTGCTTTAATAATCCATGTGTAGGAGAGCATTGGTATTCTGTTCGTGTTTAAATGACAGTGTTGTCCAGCTCTTGCCTGACTTATTGGTGTGCTGTCTGCATTGACATTTGGTTTCTATTGGAATTTCCCAGTGCCAAGGCTCAAGATGCTCAAAAAATTGCTTATGAATCTCACCAGAAATGACTAACTACAAAGGTAAAAAGCAACTAAAATCTATAAAAACAAAGTTGATAAAATACTTTGGGAGCAGCCTGCTGTGATGGTACACAGCATGTTGCATAATAATGGTAATTTCTTCAATGAGTCTGCTGCAATGATGCAAAAAATAAAAAATAAATGGTTTAAGGTGGCTTTTGATTACCATTATTATACTTGAGAGGGAGCATGGAGGAACTACACGACTGAAGCTATTGTGCTTGACAGATTTCTTAAATTAACCCCCTGAAGACTAGGACAGCTAGCATAGCTGTGCGGCTTTGCTCAAGGGCTTTTAGTTTTTGTAATCGCTTAGCCACACAACTGTCAAAAACTAGCCAGTTAGCCTCAGCTGTGATTAATCTTCCCTGCTGTGCAGTGCCATGCATTGTTCCTTTGCTGTATGCCTTACAATATTTAGGATGAGTCTCTGAAATTATGAATTAGAATAAATTAAAAGCTCTGCATGCTGGTGAATCAATCTCTTCTGCTGCCTCTGTGCAGGATTCGACTTGCAGTTTAAATATTGGTTCTGAAGTTTGAAATGTGTTCCAGGCAAGATAAAATCTGGCAGAAGCTGGTTCGCTTAGTCATGGCAGCCCATTTTGAGGCTCTGGAGAAATCAGGATCCCTGGTTAATAAGGATAGAGAAGTGACTCAGTTTGAAATGTAGGGTTTTCTTTTTTTAATAGTGTTTCAACTCAGCTGCTATCTGCCTTATTTGCCTAACAAAAAAGGCACAAAAGCAGATCATCAGTCCCTATTTCAATTAAATAATAAAAAAAACCCACGTTGAATAATGCATAATAAATGCAAAGCATCAGGAGCATTATGCTAACAAGGGAACTGCAGAAGAAATAGTTATCTGTCAATTGTATTGTTTGCGACGTTGCATTAGAACTTGATTAGAAACCACTGCCTGAAAACAACACAAAGTTGTGTTTTGGGGTTCCTCCCCCATCCTGTTTTACTTTCATTATAAATCTCATTTTAAAAATCTTCTCTCTTCTCCTTTCCTAGGGCCCATCCTACATTTGTTAGAGGCTATGGCAGCACTCCCCTTGTCTTCAGTGGGCGTAAGAACAAAGCTTCTCTAGTGCATTTACATTCCTCCTGTTTGTCCTTCTCCTATTAGCCCAATACTCAGCCTAATTCTGATCACGCCTTTATCAGCATTGCTCCATTAATTTAAATTTACACTGGATTAATTGGCAGCAGAATTGAGCCATGGTCTCTATACTGGGTGCTGCCAATTGTCAGTATTGTCTTTTCTTCAGCTGATTGGTATAGCACTGGTTCCTTTGTAAATCTTGTCCAGCACTGGGTGTTGAAGGTTGTTTATAAACAGAAATATGACTTTGTTGCAGAGGGTGTCCCATGATGAGAATATCTCAGATTATACGGATTGTTCATTAAAACTCTCCAAAACCTAATCCATTTTACTGGAGTCCTCTTACAACCGCAAGGATCTTCCCACACCACCGGTCATTTTTTCTCCCTCAGGAGCCTACATCTTAGCAGTCATCTTGTGTTTCAGAGGAGTGAGCAGGCAGGTCTACCTTTTAGGAACCCACAACCTCTCTAAATCCGCTGCAAGGGATCATGCTAGGGTGACCAGACAGCAAATGTGAAAAATTGGGATGGGGGGGGCGGGGGTGTAATAGGAGCCTATATAAGAAAAAGACCACTATAAAATCGGGACATCTGGTCACCCTAGGTAATGCTGAGAGATGTGAAATTGTTTTTCCTTTTCATGGGTCTTCTAGCTGGCAGGGTAGCCTTCCCAGCGTGGAGAGTCTAAACTTAGGTCTCCTTTCTGAGTTATTGCGAGGCCACTGGTCTCCCAAAAAGCATCCCAAAAAGGGTGTTTTAACAAAGAAGTGATGACTTAACTGTGATGGAGCCAGACCACTTGACAGCATTCAGGTGAGCAATCCAGGATTATGCAGATATTGCATTCCCTCGTCCCACACCCAGCCTGAAAGACACAAGCCAGACATCCCCCCCACACACACACACTCTGCCAGAAGCATAGCATATACATTTCCATCTGCTCCCATTCAGGAACTGTGCTCACCTTGTTGTGTTAAGTAGCCTGTGTAATAGTGGCTTTGTTTTGGCATGGTGGGCAGATATTTT